ATTTTTTCTTCTCCCATCAGAAAGCAATAAAGGAGAAGGAGATTCCCATTGAAGGACTGGAGTTCATGGGCCATGGCAGAGACAAACCTGAAAGCTCTTCTTGACCTTGCCAGTCACCTTGAAAAGACTCCTCAGATCTGGACATTTGAGCCCTCTGGATTTTGTCAAGTAAGGCTGTGAAGATAGCCAACAATTTAATGAGGACTTATTTTCCTCTCACTTTGAACGATAACTTTTTACTTTGGGATGATTTCTCACTTGCTGTAACATCTTGCAGGAACTCACTGTGCTAAAACTGAATTTCTTGGGATTATGGTTGCGATACTTCATCTGGGATCTTGTATCTAAAGACTGATAAACTTGTCAGGATAATCATGGTTGCCTGACCCCTAGAGTTATGCCTCAAAGGACATTAGATACACTGTACTGGGGTTTGTGTTCATGGAAGCAACTGGTTAGGACCTCTTTTCTCTCAGGGAGCTAATGCTCTGAAAAGGGATCCCAGCACAACTGTTTCAATCAATGCTTGGGAACAGTTTTATTTTTATATAATGACTACTGTTAAGATAGAGAGAGAGAGAGAGAGAGAGAGACTGGTAAACTTGTCAGGATAATCATGGTTGCCTGACCTCTTGGGTTATGCCTCAAAGGACATTAGATATACTGTACTAGGGTCATTGTTCATGGAAGCAACTGGTTAGGACCTCTTTTCTCTCAGGGAGCTAATGCTCTGAAAAGGGATCCCAGCACAACTGTTTCAATCAATGCTTGGGAACAGTTTTATTTTTATATAATGACTTAACTGTTAAGATTGCTCAATGGTGGACTGGGTTAGCCAGGAGGAAGCTTTTAACAGTTCCCTGCCTTAACAAGAGGTATCAAATATCAGATTAAGATGTGTAAGCTTCAAAAATGTTAGAGCAAACACCATTTCAGAGTTCATAGGGTAGTCCAGTCATTAAGATCCTTAGAGTAAGCTATGAAGGAAGATCCTAAATTGCAAAGATTTGCTGCTATGGCCAGCTTTCAACCTAAGTCAATGAATTAAATCAACCTGTATATCATGAAAGTGCCAAAATACTGTTAGCGGAGAAAGAAATTTGCTTTATTTTCCTTATTTACCCACCCTGCCCTATAATATCTGTAATCATTAAGATGGAATAAATTGTAACATCTAGTTTCTAAAAAAAATGAGCAATTCAGTAAAATAAAACAGATGCAGCAATTATATTTTTAATGGTGATGGAAAGAGCAACACAAAATGTAGATGAGTTCCATTGTGTGGTATCTCAGTAATATAGAAACTATGAAACATTCAGATCAAACATTAATCATTCATGGGGCAATAAATTTTCATTAAGGCAAGTACAGACTCCCACATAGTTTATGACACCATCATACTCATTAATGCAAGTAGTCTGAGAGGAACCATTTGGAACATTTTGGATGACAGCAGTGGTGGACAGCCCTGAAGACACCTGGTTAAACATCCTATAATTTTTATCCTGCTGTGCCTCAATGGGCAAGAACTTATATATAATTTCTTATTGTAGAAAGTATTACATATATGTCCCCTTTATCTCCCATTGACCCCCACCAGCACGCTCTTGCCGCCTACTCCAGGCCCTCACTGGCCATTGTCTGTGGCCATGGGCCATGCACATATGCATACAAAGTTCTTGGTTGATTACTTCCCACTCACCAACCCTCCCCCCCCACTTCCCTCCAAGATTCCACACCATGTTTAACAGTCTTTGGCATGATGGTGTGTGTGAGAGGAATTTATTGTGCATATTATTTCTTTGAAAAATCTGTATAACACACTGTGCTTTCTCCTTGGGAAATGAGATGTTCTCACTTTGCACACTCCATTCATCAGTTTATTTTGTTAATTAGATACCACATTGATATGAGATCATGTGATACATGTCTTTATTTGCATGACTAATTCCACTTGGCATAATACTCTCCAGGTCCCAACATGCTGTCTCAAAGGGTAAGATATTCTTCTTTTTTACTGCTGCATACTATTTCACGGTATAAATGTACCACAGCTTTTTTATCCACTCATCTATTGATGGGCACTTGGGCTGTTTCCAGATCTTAGCTATCGTAAATTGTGCAGCTATGGACATAGATGTGCATATATTCTATCAAATTGTTGTTTCAGGTTTCTTAGTATATATTCTTAGAAGTGGGATCACTGGTTCAAATGGCAGTTCCATATTTAATTTTTTGAGGAAACTCCATATTATTTTTCATAATGGCTGCACCAGTCTGCATTCCTATCAGCAGTGTTCTAGGGTTCCCTTTTCTCCACAACCTCACCAACACTTGTCATTTGTTGATGGTAGCCATTCTGACACATGTGAGATGATACCTCATTGTCCTTTTAATTTGCATCTCTCTGATTATCATTGACTTTGAGCATTTTCCCCTATGTCTCTTGGCAGTCTGTATGTCCATTTTGGAGAAGTGTCTATTTAGGCCCTTTACCAATTTTTCATTGGATTCTTTTTCTTTTGTTAAGTTGTATGAGTTCCTTATATATTTTGGATATTAACTCTTTATCAGATGTATCATTGCCAAATATGTTCTCCCATACAGGGGGCTCCATTTTCATTTTGTTGATGGTTTCTTTTGCTGTACAGAAGCTTTTTATTTTGATGTAAACCATTTCTTTATTTTCTTCTTAGTTTCCTTTGCCGTAGGAGATGTATCCAGAAATGTTGCTATGGGAGATGTCTGAGATTTTGCTGCCTATGGTTTCTTCTAGGGTTGCTATGGATTCCTGACTTTCATTTAAGTTTTTTAGCCATTTTGAGTTTATTCGTGGGAATGGTGTAAGTTGGTGGGCTACTGGCATTTTTTAGCATGTATCTGTCCAATTTTCCCAATACAATTTATTGAAGAGACTCTTTTGACTCAATTGCATGTTCTTCCCTTCTTTATCAATTATTAATTGGGTGTAATGGCTTGGGTCTATTTCTGGTGTCTCTGTTATGCTCCGCTAATCTATATGCCTGTTCTTGTGCCAGTACCAGGCTGTTTTGAGTACAGAGGCTTTGTTCTATAACTTGATATCTGGTATTGTGATTCCTCCAACTTTAACATTCTTTCTCAAGATTGCTGCAGCTATTCAGGTATTTTTTGGTTCCACATAAATTTTTGGACTATTTGTTCTAGATCTGAGAAATATACTGTTGATATTTTAATATGGATTGCATTGAATCTGTAGATTGCTTTGGGTAATACGGACATTTTAGTGATGTTGATTCTACTAATCCATGAACATGGTATATTCTTCCACTTGTTTATATCGACTTCTAACTCTTTTTTTCAATGCCCTGTAATTTTCTGTACACAAGCCTTCTACTTCCTTGGTTAAGTTTATCCCTAAGTATCTTAATTTTTTGTTGCAATGGCAAATGGGATTGTTTGTTGAGTTTCTGTTTCTGAGAATTCATTATTGGTGTATAAAAAAAAAACACATTGATTTTTGGTTGTTGATTTTGCATCCTGCTAAATTGCCAAATTCATTTATTAAATCTAATAGTTTTTGGTGGAGTCTTTAGGGTTGTCTATGTACAAATAATCTGAAATAATGAGAGTTTCACTTCCTCCTTTCTAATTTGGATGCCTTTTATTTCTTCTTGTCTGATCACTGTGGCTAGAACTTCAGATACTATGTTGAATAAGAGTAGTGAAAACAGACATTCCTGTCTTGTTCCTGTTCTTAGGGGAAATTATTTTCGTTTTTGCCCATTGAGTATGTTCACTGTAGGTATGTCATATATGTCCCTTATCATGTTGAGGTATGCTCCCTCTATTCCCACTTTGCTGAGTGGTTTTATAAAAAACGAGTGTTGGATTTTGTCGAATGCTATTTCTGTGTCTATTGTTCTCGTGTAATTTTTGTCTTTCAATTTGTTTATGTGATGTATCATGTTTATTGATTTAAGAATATTGTACCAGCCTTTCATCCATGAAATAAACCCCAATTGGTCATGGTGTATGATCTTTTTAACATATTGATGGATCCAATTTGCTAATATATTGTAGAGGATTTTTAGCATCTATGTTCAACAGGGATATTTGCCTGTAATTCTCTTTCTTTGTAGTGTCTTTATCTGGTTTTGGGATTAGGATAATGCTGGCCTTATAAAAAGATCTTGGAAGTGTTCCTTCCTCTTGGAATTTTTGGAATAGTTTGAGTATAGGTGTTAGTTCTTTGAATATTTGATAAAACTCCACTCGGAAGCCATCCGCACCTGGACTTTTGTTTGCTGGGAGTTTTTTGATTACTGCTTTGACTTCATCAGTTGTTATTGGCCTATTCAGGTTTTCTGATTCTTCCTGATTCAGTTTTGGGAGATTGTATTTTTCTAGGAATTTGTCCATTTCATCTACATTGTCTAGCTTGTTGGCATATACTCATTCATAGTATTTTCTTACAAATCTTCTTACTTCTGTGGTGTGAGTGGTCACTTCTCCACTTTTGTTTCTGAGTTTATTTATTGGCCCTCTTACTCTTTGTTTCTTGATGAGCCTGGCTAATGGTTTATCAATTTTGTTTTATAGTTGTAATTCCAGTTTGGCCCTGGGAATGTGTCCTTGCATGTTATAATGTTATGATCATAAGGAAACCCCTCTAATGTGCGAAATGATTATTGTGTGAAATGTTTGCTGTGTGGAGACCCCAATTCTCTGTAACTTCCAAATTGGTGAACACCCCACTATCTTGATGTGAACGCTCCAAGCCAGTTGTTCTCAACCTTCTGGCCTCATAAATACAGTTCCTCATGTTGTGACCTAACCATAAAATTATTTTCGTTGCTACTTCATAACTGTAATGTTGCTACTGTTGTAAATCATAATGTAAATATCTGATATGCAGAATGGTCTTAGGCGAACCCTCTGAAAGGCTCGTTCGACCGCCACAGGTTGAGAACCACTGCGAGTCTAAGCCCTTAAAGCAGGGATCCTCAAACTTTTTAAACAGGGGGCCAGTTCACTGTCCCTCAGACCTTTGGAGGGCCGGACTATAGTTTTAAAAAAAAAAAAAACTATGAACAAATTCCTATGTACACTGCACATATCTTATTTTGAAGTAAAAAAACAAAATGGGAACAAATACAATATTTCTATTTGCATGTGGCCCGCAGGCCGTAGTTTGAGGACCCCTGAAAAGTGTAAACGCCTTCCTTCTAGCATAAGGCACACAATCTGGCCCACACCAATAAGACACAGTTTTTTACTGCCAGCTATATAAGCACCGGACCTTTTTCAGTCTACGTCTCCTGCCTGACAAAAGGAGGACTCCACGTTGCTCCATGAGACAAGCCCCTGACTGACTGCTCTGCTGTGCGAGCCTGAGCCAACTGCAGCCGCCTGTATGTCTCCGTCTTCATTGTCTGTCTTTCGGTGTGCATCACTGGGTGGCCTTTGCCAGAGCCTAGGACCCACTAAGAATAGGAAAATAAATCTTGTGTGTTCATGTGTTCCAGTTCTGCTCAACTGTCTAGAGGGGGTAG